GCGGGCGCGCGCGGCAAGCCTGGGCCGCGCGACTCTGTCACCGGGGGCGAAACAGACGCTGGGTGCCCGCCCCCCATCGTCGGATTCGTTTGAACGCGCTGCATGGAAAACGCGAACTGGACGTGACGCCGAGCACAAGAATGCATGGCCGTGTAGAGCTAATAACCAGGCGCATCAACATGCGCCCTTTTAATTTGCAGCCCCGCGACACGCAGAGACCCCGCGCGCGCCCCTCCTCGACTTGCATGACCCACGAGGGAAAGTTTCACTCAGTCGGCCGTTGGCCCAAGGAGCGCAACGCGCGGAATATCACGCGCCACTGGTCGGGCTGTCTCGGCGAAGTTCCACGGGGGAGCGCGAGCGGTCGCATCGATGTCCCCTCGAGTCGGCCTAGCAAGGCGCAAAAGAACATTTGAATTGCGGCGTTGCGGCAAAGTGGCCCGCGGCATGCCGGCGCGAATGGGCTGGGCAGGCATGGGAGACAGGGCGCGTCAAAACATGGGATTCTGCACGTTGCTCACACGTCCGCCGAAAAGGGCCCTGGAAGTCACAACGGGGCCCGCGGCGATTTCAATCTGGCGCCGTGCCAAAACTGCGATGTAGGACGGCCTCTGTTTCAACGCTCAAGCTCCACCCCCCGCCCACGAAACAATCGTCGTAACAGACGCGCTGACCTGCGCTTTCCTGTAAAAGCACAATGCGCGACATGTTTGGTGCGCCCCGCAATTTCACAACAATTAATTTCGTGACTTCGCCGCTCTGCTGTCTAAAGCGCCGGCTGGTCTCTCAGACGCACTTTCATTATCTGCCTCCTCCGCCATCACAGGTTTTCCCTGCATCCCTCTATCCGCCGGCGCCTGCCCGCGCTGCGATCGCACGCAACTGCGCATGAATATATCATGATTTCGCCTACTAGAATCCGAATTATCATGAGCGGAATTTCGGAATTTCCGAAATTTGAAAAACGAAATTCCGGAACTTCCGAAATTTGAAAGAGGAAATTCCGGAAATTCCGAAATTTGAACAAACGAAATTCCGGAATTTCCGAATATTCAAAACGGCTGGTTTTGGCACAACGAAATTCCGGAAATTCCGAAATTTGAAAAACGAAATTCCGGAAATTCCAAAATTTGAAAGACGAAATTCCGGAAATGCCGATATTTCAACGCGAAAACTTCGGAACTCCTAAATTTGAATGCCAGATCCCTGGAACCGAGAACCGCCAGAAGAGGTGGCCACCGCGCGACGCGCCTGCACGTCCAAGAGAAGTTCCGCCACGGAACCGCCAGAGAAGTGAGAGGGGGCCCCCCCAGATCCCCTCGGGCGGCATCTCATCACGGATGCGCCCGCGGCGCCAACATTTGCGTTCAAAGCAAATTTTCTGGAGAGAGACCCGACCGCATGACTTCTGCAACTCCGCCGAAGAGGCATCGCCAAAGCTGGGGATCCCCATGGGCCCACGAGGCGCTGTACGTGGTTGGATACACGAACGCGAGCGCAGCCACTGGGGCCTGCGGTGGAGACCCCATGGGGCTACGAAGCGCTGCGCGGGGAATAGAGAAACCGCGGCGAATTCTAACGCTGGGGCCTTCGACGGGGCCCCCCATGGGTCCACGAACCGCCGCGGTGGGCGCGGGGAACGCATTCGAATTCCCTCGCCGGGGCCTTCGGTGAAGCTCACAATGCACCACGCGCCGCATTGACTGGGGGAAGCGCATGCGGTTTCCGCCGCTGGGACCTTAGGTGGCGCTTCGCTTTGGGCTTCGAAGCGACGCGCTGGGTGGGGGGGGGGGGGCGCATGCGAGATCCGCCGACGCTGCTTTCGGCGGGAGTTCCAGCGCTGACACCCTCGAAGGAGTTCCCGATCAGGCCACCAAGCGCTGCATTGGGAATGCGCGCGCGCGGGGGGAGGGGTCACAAGCGAGAGAAAATCCGACTGGATCTAATGCTGCGCGTTGGGGGTCGTAGGCCACTGATGATAGCAATCGCGGCAGCGACAAAGCCTGTGATCACCCATGCGCAATCGCCGAAACGACAGCCACCGTGCAATGCTACCGCGGCAGCCATTGACAAAAAGACGTCGCCGACGACTGCAACCATCATTCAGAGGGGCATCGCTGCCAATTGCACGGCGCCGCGCGCGCGACGACCTCATATCCGCAAGAAAAGCAAAACGACAGCGGATAAACTCAAACGTTGGGTGGGGATGGCGGGCGGCGAGGCGCGCATAAGGACAGACCTGTATAGGGCGATCAAGGCCATGGAGAGAAGGATGAGAGAGCAGAGAAGACGTTGTTATTTTCTTACGGAACCATGTTGTCGGCAGTAGCACGGCAACGCTGCACGCCAGGCGCGCACAAACACCGGCAAAACCCAACAGCCGAGCAAACAAAGAGGCATCGCATCAATGGGCAATTTGCCACCATCGCTTGGATGCGCCAGAACTGCAGTGCGAGAGCAACTGCAACCACGAACGCATGCACATCTTAATATCACCACACCGCCCCATTGAACCATACCCTTTTGCACCGCACCCCTTTCCCCCTTCTAACCTAACAATCTTCTGCTGGCAAGTTCAGCCGACTTCATTTTGGCCTTGATCGATCGATTGAACTTCTCCTCGCCTCCCTCCCTGCTGCTGTTTGTTGCTCCCTTTGGCGTCCACCCGTCGCGGTGGATTGGTCTCGTCGGCCCCCAGGCCCTGGCACTGCGCGCGCATTCATGACCGTGGCTGACCTGCTGACGCGACATTTGCTGACGCTCGACGACTCACTGTTCATCGACTGTCATGGGCGCCATCACCGGTCCGCTGGAAAAAATCAGCATCACCCTCAGCATCATTAGCAGCATCAGCATCATCAGCTTCGCCAGTACCAGCAGCATCAGCATCGCTATCCGCATTATCATCGATATCGTCATCAGCATCGCCATCACGATCGCCATCATCATCGTGGTCATCATCATGAGCAGTAGCATCACCATCAGCATCAACATCACCATCCGTAGCTATTTGGGCTCAATCGGGCTCGGGTGCGGGAGGCCCTAGCGGCGCGCGCGCGGTGAACGCGGGCGGGCGTTTTGGCGGCCATGGATGGGCGGGCGCGGGCTGCGGCTAGCGCCCGCGCGCTGGCGCGGCGGCTGTGGCGTCCGCGCCGGCAGTGGCGGGGGCAAACGCGGGCGGCGGCGCTGGCTTGCAGGACGAGGGGCCTGCGCGAGGCCCTGGCCGCGCAGTGGGCGCTGGGCGACCGCCTGGGCGGCCGCGCCCCCTGTTTCGGAGAGGGGGTGGCCACGGGGCGGCCACTGGGCTGCCCAGCGGAGGTGCTCGCGGAGGCGCAGGAACACCTGGCCCAGGGGAACTGGGCGAGGCACGCGCCACCCCCAGGCCGCGCGTTCCTGCCGGGTCCGCCGCCTGGAGCAGCGCGGGCAGACGAGACGGAGGCTTCGGTGCTGGCGGAGACGGCGGGCCAGCGCGGACGGCGCTGCGCGGAGGGGCGCGGCCCTTCGCCCCGGCGCGGCACTACCTGCTGCCCGACGCGGAGCCCTTCGGCGAGCAGGCGGCGGCGGCGACGGCGCCCTACCTTGCGGAGGGGACCTTCGGCGAGCAGCTGGCGGCGGCGGCGCCCGGCCCCGCGGCGCCCCTCGGCGAGCAGGCGGCGGCGCCGCCGCCCTACCTCGCGGAGCCCTTCGGCGAACACATTTTCGATTGGACCGACGACTCGGAGCTCGCCGGCCCTGGGGGGCCGATTGGTGCATTTCCTCGACCACGCCAGCCTCGACGCGCTGGCGGCCACGTCCACGGCGCGGCACGACGATGCGGAGACGCTCAGTTTGCGCGGGATTGACCAGGTCAAGGACGACCACGCCGCAGGGCGCGACGCGGACATGGATGGGTACGTTTGTGCAGTGAGGGCCGAGGCCCAAAGGCTCTCGGCGACAGACTGGGACGGGTGCAGTTTGGGGTGTGCCTGCGCGGAAACCCTGGGGAGGAGGCCCAAGTACCCCGTGAGTGAGTGAGCTTGCCGTTGCGCCGATCGCAGACCGATCGAGGTATCCTGCGAGAGGCGGGGGGCGCTTCGAACTAATGTAGCTGATGAAAGACTTCGGGGGGGACCGCGAGTCGGCGGCTGCCCCCCCTCGGGGGAGTGAGAGCATCATCCTCAGTATCATCATCATCACCGTCATCATCATCACCATCCGCATCATCATCATCATCATCATCATCTTCATCATCATCATCATCATCATCATCATCACCCCCGCCTTCACTTCCTCGCCCCCCAACTCCGCGTCTGGCTCCTCGTGCTCGGGGCCCTTATTCATCGGCCTTCCCGCCCGTCCTCCTTTTTTTCTCCGCGGGGACTGGAAAGGGAAGAGCAAAGAAAAGCGCAGGAAGAGCCCAGCCAGGTAGAGGAGGGGGAAAAATAAAACGAGGAGGAGCGCTGAGACCAAGCTTGCCGCAGTGACGCGGCCTTCGTTTCCACATCAGCGCAGGTGCACCTCTCGCCGAGCTCCGTCGTCGCAGGGGCCTCGCTCACGGCTCCTGGGGGGCCACGATCGCGCTGCGCAAGGCACTCTTTTCCTCCGTCGTCGTCCGATTCGTTTTTTCCTGGTGTTGCCGTGATTTGTATGATCGGCCGACCTGGCCACGGGCGTTCCGCACACAGCGCTTATGCATGTCCAGTTTGTTATGGCCCTTCGCGTTGCGCACCGCAAGCTTCGAGAAACTGCCCCGAGCGCATCAGGATGCCGGCTTCCCCTTTGGTTGCCCTTCCTACCTACTGCCTCAAGGGTGGAGGGGGGGCGGGGAGGGAAGGCGCCCATTCCTCTGGAGAGAATGGCAGTGCGGACGGGGGGTGGAGGGGTGGGGAGGGGGCGGAAAGGGAGTGGGGAGGGGGCGGAGAGGGGGTGGGGAGGGGGCGGAGGGGGGGGTGGAGAGGGAGTCGAGAAGGCGTGGAGAGGGAGAGGGGGTGGTTAGTTCCGCTTCCCGCCCTCCCGACGAGGCGCAGCGGATGTCGGTGACCATGAGAGACGCCCCGGGCTCGGGAATCGCACGTACGTTGGGAGCGCGCCGTGGACGAGTCGGCACAGAAGATGATGATGACGACGATGACGACGCTGACAGGGACGAAGATTACGGCCATGACGGCGGCGATGAAGACGACGACGACAACGATGCTGCAGATCCGTCGCAGGGCGGGTGGGAGGGGGGGAGGAGACAGGAGAGAAGCGGGGGATAGGAGAGAGGCAAGCTGGGTGCGCGCGCCATATCTGACATCTTACTCCTCCCACCCAGTCCTTCCCTTTGGGGCGAGGTTTTCTCGATCCGCCGACGGGTGTCGTAGCGGACCTGGGTCCCCCAAATGACCCAATTGTGTGATGCGCAAGCAGAAACTGGAGCTATGTACATTGGAGGAGGAAGGAGAAGAAGGTAGCAGACCAGCGGAAACCCAAGACGCATCAACGATGCTACTAGAAACCAGCCCTCCAAGTTCCTTCTTCACAGGTCCCTATACGAATCTATCTCCACTGCGTGCAGTGCCCCATTGGAAGACCAACTGTTTGAGAATCCACAACTGTGCCAGAAACCCTTCTGGGGTCTCTAGACTGCGAACCTACGTGACTGCTGCGTCCTGGCAATCCTGCATCGTGCTGGAACGCTATCCCTGAGACGTCAACACCGCGAGTCAGCGCGACAGTTGTGTCTTGACAGTCGTAAATTGTGCCAGTGCACCATTCTTGGGATTGGAGAGGCCCTTGCGGCAGGTGCCACCGACCCTGAACGACGACGACGACGATGTTGACGCCGGTCAGGCTCCTCAGGGATGGTTCTTGGGGTCTCTTCTGAGCGCTCTCGGTTGCCTTTGGGGGGTAATTGTGGGGCCCTTGGGGCGCCTGTTTGGAAGGCTCCTGGGGGCATCTTCTCGTCGCTTCCTGGGAGCCTCCTGACAGTCGTAAACTGGACCAGTGCACCGTTCTTGGGATCCCAACTTCACGACGGATCCTGGAAGCTGTCTTCATCCAATATTTAAATAATTACAGGTGCGCGTGGCGCTCTGGCGAGGGCCACATGTTGGAGAGGAACCGCCCCCCCCATCCTTGCAGCTGCTGCTGTCTTTGAAGGCGACACTGCGCGGCGCAGAGGCACGAGCCGCATGCCGAGAACGGCCCGCCCCCCATCCTTGAAGCGTTTGGGCACGTTCAGGGCGACTGCGCTCAGGCGAGAGCCGCGTGTTGAGAAGGGACCGTCCTCTCTCTGAAACTCCTCCTCCGCCTCCTCCGCCTCCTCCTCCTCCTCCTCCTCCTCCTCCGCCTCCTCTTCCTCCACCTCCTCCTTCTCCGCCTCCTCCGCCTCCTCCTTCTCCGGGCGCCTGGGCCTGCCCACCGAGCGGATCCCGTCGCTCGGCCCGGTCGAGTTGCACGCCATGGTCGGCCATTTGGAGCAGATGCTAGTCCAGCGCGGCGAGACGGGGTAGCAGTTCGTGTTCGTGGTGCCCGACGGCGTGGTGGCCGTCGTGGTCTGATAGGTCGTCCTCATCGACCTCGCGGTCGGGGGGTCCTGGGCTCCTCAGGTGGAGTCCAGGCCCCCCGCGGGCGCGGCTGCGGCCGCGCGCTGGGCGGAGAGACCCTTCGCCCTCTGCCGCGCGCTCTCTCTCTCTCCCTCCTCCGCCTCCTCCTCCGCCTCCTCATCCGCCTCCTCTCTCGTTCCGTCAGCAGCTTTGCACTTGACTCAGGGCCCGTCGCGTCTAGGTGTGCACGCGGCGGCAGAGGGACGGCGCGGCCGTGTGGGAAGAAGCCTCGGTGCGACATCCTGAGAGGGCGCAGCGCATCCATCGTGCCTGCAAACTTTCAAGGCGAACGCGCGCGGCGATACGGTGAGAGCCACCTGCTGAAAACGAACCGCTCTCCGTCAATAAACCTGCTGCAATGTTTAAAGACGAAAATGCGCGGCGCTAGGGCGAGAGCTTCTTTTTGAAGACGGCCCTCCCCCAGTCTGTGACATTGTCGCACGTCTCAAATATGCTGAAGCTAAGTGTTGAGAAAGTCCCAGGCGAAACTCTCGGCCCGCCCGACACGTCTGGGGACGCGGCAAGGAGGAGCTATGCATAAGGAAAAGTGGCTGGATAGGAGGATCAGCAGGATGAAGAGGAGGAATACGATGAAGGAGGAGAGGCAGCAGCAGCAGGAGCGGAAGCGGGAGGAGCGGGAGGAGCAGAAGGAGCAGGGGAAGCCGAAGGGGGGAAAGAAGGGAGGCGACAACGACGAGGAAGGAATCGGATCCAGAAATGCGGCCCGCGGTGGTGCGAGATCTTCATTCTAAACGATGGGAACAACGCCCCATTCATGACATGAGGCCAGGCCCCGAAGCCCCCCTGGCATTCTGAGAAGCGCTCTGGAGGCTTTCCTCGATGGGCACGGGAGACTCTGACGCCTTTTTGTGGTGGGAGAGGGTTCGAAGGTCGCCAGGCATTCCGGTGACTTGTGAAGCTCTGCGCGGAGCTGTTTGCTGTGTCGTAGCAGGTCGCGCCAACGAGTCTGAAGGCAGCGGGTCGTGGGTATTCCACTTCCTTCTTTGCGGGAGGTTCCACCCCATCCATCCTGATGGCCCCCAGTTGCGTTTACAGCTTGTCAGAGTTGAAACAAATATGTGACCAGTTGTGTTTCCTCATACGGCTGAGCCTCCGCCGCCAACAAATGTTCGCCCCGAGTTGGTGAGCCATGAACTGATTCCGCCATGGCATCCCTGTCCCAGCGGATGCGCTCGAGCGTTGGTTTGGGCGTCGGTGCGCATGCAGGTAGCCGAAGCTGCGTGCGCAAGAACAGGTGATACCTCCGACAATTGTAAACTGGTGGCTTGCGAGGAAAGCAGGGAGGGCACCTGCAGTGGCGATGGCCCCCGTGCCGTACACATCAGAGGCTGGAGGAGGGGGCACACATGCCGTCATTCAAGTCGGCGCACAGCATGGGAATGGTTCGGTCGGGAGGTCAGTCGTCCAGGCCAAGAACTTGGAACCCTCAGGGTTACCTTGGGTTTCACCCTCGCATGTAAATCGTACGTTGTGGGAAAAAAAATACTCGCGCAACCAAGCAAGGGCCGCCCCTGGTAGTTGTTTGGTTGTACTGCCGAATGTCATTGCGATGCCTGTCGATCGGTTGGTGCATTGACCAGGGGAATGACCTCGTTCCACCTGCCATCGCAATCCAAGTCTGGGCTGTTGTATTCTAAAGTCTGCTACGAGCTCCGTGCCAATCAGCGTCACGCAATCAACGATTTCGCGGGCGAAACTGGTATCCTCTTGGCGGTCGCATCGAGCAGCTAAGAGAGATTTGTAGTGACCACAGTGACGATATTTCGGCATATGGGTTTGGTCCCCTATACCTCGCGAGCGTGTTTCAAGTTTCAGGAGCAGGCAGGCCCCAGCAGCCATGATGGCCAAAAACAGTCTGTCTTGTATCAGGCCTCGCAAATCATGGTGCGAGAACGATGCAGGATGGTCTTTGTCGCCTTGGCACTGCTTGATCCCAAGTGGCGATTGCAGGGGAGGAGGGAGGGAGGACGAGGGATGCGAGGGAGGAGAGGACGACGACGACGACGACGACGACGACGACGACGACGACGAGACGACGACGACGCGACGACGAGCACGAGGACATTCGCAAGGACCAAGGAGACGAGGACGAGGACGAGGAGTTTGAGGAGGAGCGGGCGAGGTGCTGGAGAAGCAGGAGGACGACGACGACGAGGCCGACGAGAAAGAGGGATTGGAGGAGGAGGAGCACGCAATGGAGGAGGATGAGGAGTTCATCCGAGGTCAGCTGCCCGCTCGAGGAGTTCCAGGATTTGGACCCCGAGAAGTGGCTCGAAGGCGCCGACCGAAGCCCGCTTTAGGCTGGAAGCGCTGCGAGGTGTGGGAATGTCGGCGCTCGTCGTCGCCGCCGTAAATTCGTTGCCGCAGGAGCCGGCGGTTCCCAGACGTGGCTGTCGTCGCTCCGCAGGAGGAGACGGCGGACCCAGACATGCCCGCATCTGTAGGAACATGCCGTGACCGGTTTGTTGGCAGATTTTGGCTCTTGGGGCCCTCGCCGGGCCCCAGGACTTCCTCCTCCTCTTCCTCGCCGGGTCAAAGGGCCGTGAAAAACTACTCGGGATGAGGCGCTGCGCTGTGAAAGCAGCACGACGTCGGATGTCTGGGGGGAATGTAGCACGAGGAGGAGGCGGAGGGGGAGGAGGAGGAGGAGGGGGTTGGGGGCAAGGTCTTTGGACGTCTTCGGTGGTTTTCCCAGGTTGTGGGAAGCACCCCAAACGGTTGCGTGCATTTTGGGTGGTCCCACCGGAAGGTGCAAGAATCTTTGTGAAAGAGCGTCGCCCATGTCGGTGGGCAGCGGGATTCTCAGAATCTCAGTTCTAGGCCCTGCTCCAGATTCAGTGCGAGGTTAATTGACAGCGTTGAGTGTGTAGACAGTGGTGAGAGTATGGAGAACGAAAAGAGGTTCAAGAGTGAAGAGGGCGTCGAGAATGTAAAGGCTGTAGAGAGTGTAGGAAGTGGAAAGAGTGCAACGTGCAGCGTTCACTGAGCGAAGGGAGTGCGGAGAGCGTGGGGAAGGTGAAGACTTGCGATAGCACTGGGTACAGGTGAAGAGCTCGAGGAAATGGTAAGTGACGAAAATGTGGATGTTGTAAACAAGGTGAAATGCAGCAAATCGCGGTGAGCGATAAGTATAGAAAGCGTCGACAGAGCAAAGACTGTATAGGTTGCAGGTAGAATGCAGAACCGGGAGGGTGTAGATTGAGCGCAGAGAGTGTAGACACCGTGAAGAAAGCGTACGAAGAGCGTGGACAGCGCAGGGAGAGGAGGCAGCAGAAACATAACAGCGACCAGAGAGGTACAGGGAGCAGATATGACATGAGAGCAGGAGGGGCGGCGGGAGCAGAGGCAGCAGAGATCGACGAGGGGGCCAAGAGAGCACTGGACTTGGCATCGCTCGGTCGTGCTCATTTTTTCTGGCTGGGGCCATGGAGGAGCGTCCTGTATCATCTGGCAAAAACAGATCGTCGTCGTCCTTTTCGTCGTGTTCGTCGTCGTCGTCGTCGTGTTCGTCGTCGTGTTCGTCGTCGCGTTCGTCGTCGTCATCGTCGTTGTCGTCGTCGTCGTCGTCGTCTCCCTCCCCCCATCCCTCCTCCCTCCTCTCTCCTCGCACGGAGTCGAAAAAAATGTACGGGGAATAGACGTCCGAGTGATGGCGCGTGGAAATCAGACACAGAGCGCATGTCACTGGGCGGGCCTGGGGCCGGCACGCTCTTTCGTCGGCACTCCGCCACCCCCCCTCTCGGGTGTAGCCGGGACCCCGGGTGTAAAGGGGGCGTGGTTGGTGGTAGGGCCCGGAGCCCCGAGATTGGCCAGAATCACGGAGCCAGGTCTGCCGTGGCAGGGTTTTTTTCGCGTGATGCGAAAACCGCACAATCGTGCAGCTTCGCTTCCCTCTGGAGTCTGTCTGACAGAATGTCGAAACCAAATGGGGTTGCGCACGTTAAAATCGCCAATCAAAAATACGTTTATGGCAAAAGAAATGTGTGTTTCCATCTCTACACACTTTGCATCGAAATCACTTCGGCAGTGCACATCACTAAACCAGGTCCCACTAAACCCAGTTCTGCCAGCGCCCGACTCTCCGCGCCCCCCTGGCCTCGACGGGCTCCCCAGGCCCTGGGGCGGGCTACCTTTCCAGAATCCCCCGCACCACCACCATCTCCCGAGGAAGAACGAGGAAGACGACGCGGACGAGGAGGAGAAGGATGACGACGACGAATGGAGATGAGGAGCAGGAGGAGGAGGAGGAGGAAGAGGAAGGCAAGGACGATGACGAGGAGCAGGGACGACGATGGGGAGAACGGTGCAGACGAGGTGGAGGAGGCCCGATTTGCATTTCCGGTGCCCCCGCGCCCAGGCACGGTGGTCGGCCTCCCAAAGTTCGGCGCTTTCGTGGCAGGGAGGGGTAGCGCGCAAAGGGCAGCGGAGCAGTAGCTGTTCCTCGTCCTACTCTTTCTTTCACCTCCTCGTATTCATCTGGCACCTCCTCTGAGCAGAGGTCCGGAGCCAGACCCCCTCCCCTCCCTCCGCTCTCCGACCAATGTCGAAACGCCAATTTTTGTATAATAATGATAAGCATAGTAAAAATAGTATTCATAATATTAATGATAATTAATAATAATAATAATAATAATAATAATAATAATAATAATAATAATAATAATAATAACAATAATAATAATAATAGTAATAGTCATAATAGTAACAATAACAATAATAATGTTAATACTGATACTAATTATAATAATGATAGCGGTAATGATAATAATAATAGTAGTAATAACCACAAGAATAATAATAATAGTAATAATAATAATAAAAATAATCCGAATAATAATACTAATAATAGTACCGACATCCATAATAATATTACGGACATTCATGATAATAATAAAGTAAATAATTAACCACAAAAACTCACCTTGGCGGCTTCGTACACTCTGACAAACATTGATGGGCCCATGTTCCACCACCACTACCATGTGTAGAAGAGGGAGGAGGAGGAAGAGGAGGAGGCGGAGGAGGAGGAGGACCTCATCATTGAGGCGATCTACGACTGGGCCGGATCCAGACTGCCTGCGTACCAGCGGTTGCCGCTGGACAGGCTATGGATTCGGAACTTGGTGGGCAGTCCGTTCGTTGCTTGGTTACTCCTCGAGGGGTTGCCCAGGACCTGGTCCATGTAGGGACAGTGCCGTCGTGTCGGAGCGTCTACCCGGGTTACCGTCTGCGGGTCCTTCTTGCTCGAGACACTCGATGCATCCCGCGATTATGGCGTGCGCCCAAGTACCCCCGTCCTGGTGGTCTAGGTGCGCCGTCAGGGCGGGGTCCTGTGAAAGTATCACGGCAGAGTTAGTGCCCAGGTCAGTGTGCCCATCGCAGATGTCGAGGAGGACGTTTCGTGCGTCGGGCCGGGAGCCCCGGGTGTCTTCCCCTGTGGTTTGGGGGGTGCCCGCCAGGTGTCCCCTCCTTCTGTCTCCCCGACCGAAAATCAAACGACACCACCCCACCTACGACCCTCCATGTTGCGCTACGGTGAAGTCGGTGATGTCCCTTTACAAGAGGTATAGTCAAAAATAGTAAGAAAAGTAGTCTGGGGACGATTTTTCGAATTCGTTTGACAAGTGTGGAAGATGTTTGACTACCTTCCACTGTTTTACCAAAAGCCGCCTGTGGGAGGATATGCCCGACCTGACGCTGCGGCGCGGCCGCCGTCTGGCGGTGCCGGGGCCCGGGATCCCCCGCCCTGACGTGTTTGTCACGCCAGGCGGCCCTGGCCGGCCGCTGGCGCCTCTCTAGCTTTGGGGGGGCGTGTAGTGTTGAGTCGGGCTTGTTCCTCCACACCAGGAGTGTCCGAAAACAGTCAAAAAGTAATGGGGGGAACGGATTTTGTTTTATTTTCTATGTTTGGAATGTTTTGACTATGTTTCGCTTTTCGTCCAAAATCCGCCTGTAGGGGGACATGCCCGACCTAAGCGCAATGGGAGGCGATAGATGGGGGGGGGCAGCGAGGGCTGCAGAAAAGGGGCCGCCTTAGGGCTCCTAAAGGCCACGTTCAAGAAGAGGACCTCTCGGGCCCGAGAAGGGCACGTTTCCTCCCCCCCATCTCCCACCCCCCCCCCATTCATTCACGCCCGCGGGGGTGTCCGAGCGTTTCCGCCTTCCCGCAGTCGGTCCGCGGGTTGCTCATGCTGCGGCAGTTCCTCGGCGAGCGAGGGGGGAAGTGATCAGGAGAAGGCCCTCTCAGAAGGCGGAAGGGCTTTTCAGAGGCTCTCACGCCTTCTGAGAAGTTTTGTGCTCGCCAAGGGGCCTCTGAGCGCTCGGAGGAGGCGTTCTCCGGCTCGCCGCCGAGCGGTGGCGCTCGTGAGCAAGTGTGCCGGCAGCCCCGACGCCTGCCTGGATCACCGGTTGGGCCTTCGGCGCCCGGGGGCCGGCCCTGTGGCGTCAACCCCTCAGCCCCGCGTCGGGGGCGGTGCTCTCTCCTCGTCCCCACTGGGTGGAGCGGTCCGTCGGGCTCCTGTGGGCTCTGCCTGTGCGGCGTCGCTGGAGCACAGGCGAGGCGGGGCCTCGTTCGGGATGGCTGCCGGCCTCGTGGCAGGGCGCGCGCGGGTCAGCAGCGTCTGTCTGGGAGGACCCAACGAAGTCGGATTCCCAGACACACAGAGCCTGAGTGCTATGTTGCCTGGTAGCGCGAGGAGGCACGAAACCGATGAGGAAGAGGCGGGGGGGGGAGGGATGAGCATATCAGTAACATGTGATATGTCTTTCGCGCGTGGTCCACATGTTCATAATTCGTCATCCCTCTCCTGGAGCATCTGATTATTTGGCGATCCGTGTTCCATTCCCTTGCTGTGTATCCCGATCCTACTCCTCTCGCGCCTTCTCACCCTCCTCATCGTCATCGCTCAGTTGCTCACACGTACTGTCGGCCCGTACCACAAGGATGCGCGATAAGGGTGCAAAGGCATTGGACGCCCATTTCGAAGCTTTTCGAGTGGGGCGCGGCCAACGAAAGTGGCTAAAGATGGACCAAGGAGGTAAGGATGCTAAGGTACTCTCGGGAAGGTTGCCCATCCGTACTTTGCGGGTTGATTATACCATGGTCCTGAACAACAGCTGAGGAGCGAAGCCCTTATTCTTCCTGCTTGGCCATGTTCTCGAAATCAGTGTGGGTGGTCATGGCTGGAGTGTACTGGCAGCATCGGGTGTGCGCTCGTCGCCGGGTGGACCGCCGTGTCCGTCGTCATCATCATCATCATCATCATCATCATCGTCACCATCATCATCATCATCATCATCATCATCATCATCATCATCATCATCATCATCGTCATCATCATCATCATCATCCTACTCCCCCTGCATGTACATGTCCCACGCCATTCTCATCCAGCTACGCCTGCCGAGCTCCCAAGAGAAGCATTAGCGAGGTTATCTCGGAGTGAACCCAAGGGGAGCGAGCGGCAGACGAAGAATGGAGAGAGCTTCAGGAGCGCCCCACAGCGGACCAGATGTGGAAGAAATGAAGCGAAGGGGGGCAGGACTGCCACGGAAGAAGTATCCCCAACCAAGACGAGGCAGGAGGATAAGGGGGGAAGTTGCCCTCCAATAGTTACGACACTCCCTATCGGCACACAAGGTTGAAGCTAAGAGTGGACATGGTAGAGTCAAACACGCAGGATAGATTGGAGGATATTAAGAAGGACTTGGCGCATATACAAAATGTGCTACGCATGCAGGACATATTTGGAAGTTGCAAGAGAGAAAGAAGCGGGTATAATAAATATGGAGGGCACACGGGACAACAACTTCAGCGATCTATACAGGCTCGGGGTGCAATATCAGAGGAATGGGAGAGGACCAAAGAAGAGGTATTATTTCTCTGCTCGAACATGGTGGAACACAGAGGAATGGCTAAAAGATCTGGGGCAGCACGCCCTTACGAGGGGGGGCTGGCAGCAGAGCCGATGAACTGATGAACTTAGAAGAGCACGAGAAGAAGCACGACGCGATGATCGTATAAAAATGCTGCCCCTCATGGCTATGGATCTGAAATCCCATCTGGAGAGGGACAAAAAAGATATGATGCTGAAGTGCTGCAGGCAGGCGGCAAAGAGGTGGTCTTCCCCCCCGTGGGGAGTGCCAGTGGAACTGACATGGACGATTCCAGAACCCACGGTAAACCTGGAGGACCCTGAGCAATTGAGCAGGAAGTTGGGGGAGCAGAAAGTACGAGCAGCGGAGAAACGAGAGGACGAGGAGGGCTTGGATAAGTACAGTTCACGAAACAAGTACGGGGTGGGCAGGCCGATGTTACAGAACCTGGGTTGGACACCAGGGAGGGCGCTGGGCAGGACAAATACGAACGATGACGGAGAATCGTCATGGGCGACAGAAAAACAAACAACAAAAAACCAAAAATATCGTACCACCTGGGAGATACGAGAAAGCTGGGCTGGAATCGTCAGCGACGGGGAAAGATGCGAGTATGGAGTGCAGGAACAAGCTGGAGGACATCCTTACCAAGCGTCGCCAATCCCAAGCTACACCATTGGACCGACACATGTATATTTGTTCTCAGCAGAGAAAGGCATCCAAAAAAGGGGATGGGGGGAAACATAATTTCGCGCGCAAGTTGCTCAATGGGAATGGCGCTGCACAGAGGTACCCATTACAGAATAAAGACACCAAAGCACCCATGCTGGGCACAGGGAGGGCTCAGAAATAGATCGAGGGAGAACGCGATTGCCTGTGCCGAAGGAACGCAATGGAGAGCAAGACAGGCAGGGGTGAGCACCACTGCCAGCAACTACGACTGCACCAGTGCCTTCGCGAGCACGAAACGCAACCTCCTGCTGGCACCAGTCTTCGCCACGTCGAAAGAGGAGGACCGACCATTCGCGATCGAGGCGCTACATTACACGTCAATGAGCATGGAATGTGCAGACTGTTGGCTAGATGCAAGGACGACGCGGGGTGCGCAGATTGGATCTACATTGTGCACACGGCAATTCAATGATACATACAACCTAGACGTGGGACAATGGCACCAGGAAGAGGAGGAGAGGGACGAGGTGCAGACAGCGCACGGTGGACCCCGTCAATGACCAGGAGCACGATCTCTCGCTCAATTCGTTCATGGATGACATCACCAAGATCAACGCAGTGGTTTCGTCGGGACCGCCCACGCAGGTGACTGGAGTTAGCGAGGCAATCTCGGAGCACCAGTCGGCCCTTGGCGAAGGCGAGGATGTCTCGGCTCGCCCAGGAGCACAGCGCCATTCGACTTTTGGCGAAAGCGAGGATATCTCGGATAGCCCAAGAGCCCAAGCGAGAAGGGCAGCGGAGCAGATCAATGCCACCACTCAGCGCCTCGAGCGCAAATTGGAGAGAGGAAGGTGGAACTTGAACCCAGCCAAGACCAACCGCCCGGCGCCCCTTCGTGGCCCAGGGCGAGGCGGGACCCCGCGACAGCTACACATGGAGAAGAATATCAAGGGCACGCCGATGAGGCAGATGAGAGCACTGGGGCCGCGCGACCAAGGCTACGCGGGAGAGATCAGGAGGAGGTGTAAGGTCATGCAGGTAGTTTAGAGACAATGCGGATGCATCTGGTCTTCTGACACCACCGACAAGATAAAGAAGGATACGTTCTGGGCGTTCGGCTCGGGGGCAAGCTTGAGCGGAGTGGCGGCATTTGAATTTGGAGCGACATTTGAAAGCGCTCGACAGTGCGATGGCGGTTCGATTGAGAAGAATGGCAGGAGGCAGGATGAGCTGGACAGAAGAGGATGGCACGACAAGGTGCTGCGCCAACAAGGAGGTGTTCAGGAAATGGAGGATACTGCGTTGCTCAACAGCGCCGAGGGTCCGCAGGCTGCGATTGCACAGGCATTTGGCAAAATAGCCAGAGGATGTTGGCAGTGCGTTGGCAGCACTTTGTGGCGCGTCGAAGCTGGGCCGCCTCTGCGAAGTCAGGAGATTTGGAAATGGGAGGGTACGCGAAGCATCTGCACCCTGGGCAAAGCAGGTGGTCAGGGATTTCCAGGCACTGGGCCCAGCGAAGGCAATCAGATATTTCAATGTTCCAGGCGGGCACGCGTGGAGAAGGACAGACCCCAGTATTCGACGCCACGCAGGACAAGCCTGGGATATAAAGCTACCAGAAATTACGGCGGGAGGTGAACTGGTAGCTCATTTTTGGCGTGACTGGGAAGCTGGGGCTGACGGGCAGGCGCGCGGGGCGCAAGTCATTGCGGCCGCGGCGGCGCTGGCAGCGCACAGGAGAGTGGTGCGCAACTGTCTACCGCTGATTCCCAGCTTGGCGCATGGTGCTTGAGATTTGTCCGACAAAAATAACGACCGGCCACGTCGTGGGGCTTGCGGGGGGGCACGAGATTTGCTACAAAAACAGAAGCTGTTGGAATCACCCAGTCCAGGAGCCTCCTTCCGTAGTCTGCACCCTCTGTGACTTTCAGGCTCAATAGCTTCAACGTCGCGGTCATTCGCTTCAAACGTTTGCAGGAATGTGGCTCGTTTTCAAAATGTGGTTCTCGCCCCAGTGTCGCACACACTCGTCGTAAAAGTTTGCAAGAGCTTCAGGGATGGAAGGACATCTATTTTCAAGGAGTCTGGTATGCAAGAGCTTGTAGCAGTTTAGCGTCCCAGAAATAGTGTTTTGGCATTTCGTCCGGATGTCAGGGCGCAACAAACACGTCGATTCGTGGTGTTGAAGTCCCGGGAATGATGTTCTGGCACGGTTCAGGATCGTCAAGACGCAACAGTAACCGTGATTCGCGGCGCTGAAGCCCCAGGAACGGCGTTCTGTCACAAGTCCAGATTTCAACATCAATTTAGGAGCCTATGCAGAGGGAGTTGGAAGCAGGGTGAATTGCAGTATCGTTGATGAGTCTTTAGTTTACACTGGTCCTCATCCTCCTCCGCCGCTGCTGGACGGGGGGGGCGTTGAAGGAGGAGACGGACGAGGCAGGAAAAGGAAGAGGAGACGGAGGAGGAGGAGGAGGAGGAGGACAGACAAAAAGAAAGAGCAGGAGGAGTTAGGAGGAGAAAAAGTGCCAGAAGCAGGAGGTCTGCATAGCCTTACAGGTTTCAGTGGCCTGGCGCGTCGCGAGCGCGTTCGTCAGCCGGACTAAAAGTGAGGTTCCGAGGCGGTCAGGCCGAAGGGTTCGCCGGTTAGGCGCGTTGGCAGTATGTTGTTTTGTTCTTGGTGTTGTTTTGCCCGTTCGTCGAGGCCTTCATGGTGTTCAGTGGGGTTGGGTTGGGGGGCGTCCTGTATCTTGAGCCTCCTCATGCCTGCACAAGGGAGGAGGAGGAGGAGGAGGAGGAGGAGGAGGAAGAGGAAGAGGAAGAGGAAGGGGAGCGAGCGATGAGGGAAGAGGAGGAGAAGGAGGAGGAGGGGGAGGGGGAGCGAGCGAAGAGGGGAGAGGAGGAGAAGGAGGAGGAGGAGAAGGAGGGTTGTTTTCCGCCCCTGCCCCTCCGGCGGGAGGCCGTGAAGGACCCCAAGGGCGGGAAAGCGACGGCCCAGGCGCTGCTGCCCATCGCCCAGATCTCCGAGCAGCGCGTTGAGGACGCCGTGGGAGGCAAGGGGGGGAGGAGGGAGGAGGGAGGAAGAGGAGGGAGGAGGAGGGGAAGGAGGATCATGGGAAGCTTGAATCAGAAGACCAAGCGGAGCGGTGAGACGCGAAGCGCCTAGAATATAGAACGATCAATCATCAATTGGTCTGCCCGACTTTGGATGCCGCCACGCCCTGATGGCGGCAATGTGGTCCGCGCTCTGAGGGCCCTGAACACTGGCCCTCGAGACTTCAGTTGGCCACCCTCCCCTGGGTCGCATGGTACGAGCCACGGTGCAGACCATGGCCGCGGGGTCACCAAAACTTGGTGGCCGTGGAGGTCGACGATTGCTTCAGCGGGCACCGACACCCCTGTTCAGACCGAATTCGCCTCAGCGCAAGCCACGCTAAAGACCATGTTCAAGAATACTAGCAAAATCAAGCACTGCCGCCACCGCGGCCGATCGCAACGGTGGGGCCCTTTGCAGCTCAGCATCCGTCCGAGCCCTAAGCCTCTGATGAGCCGTGGGCTGGCGGGGCCCTTGAAGCAATTCAGTTGAGTTGGCAGTGGGTCTTGGCTTGGGCAAGACATGCATGCCATTGATTGCGAGGAGGAGAGAGAGGAGGGAGGAGGGATCGGTATCGGTATCGGTAAGAGTCGACTCGCTGCCGGTGTCTGTGGACCCCAAACGGGTCACTGAGAAGATTGATGGGCGAAAGGGTCCCAACCTGTATTGGGGGAACGATCGAAGAGGGAGCAGGCCTGGGGTCCAGGCCGAGATCAGCACGCTGTCTCTGCCACTTTCGCTCCCTGGCGGCCTCCCTCTTCTTATTAAGTAAGGCCCTAAGCTCAGGAGGGAGCACAGGGACGGAGGGGGGGGCAGGTAGAGGAGGAGAGGGGACGTGGGCAGGGGCCCCCGGTGCGGCCTAGGCCGCTGTGATGGCGGCAGTGCCGAAGTCGGAGGTGGCGGTGTCGTAGGCGACGGCGTCATCCTCCTCTCCTCCCTGTTGGCGCTCCCTCTCCACGGGTGGGTGGGTGGGGGCTGGGCGGTCGAATCGAGGATCGTGCTTCTTCTTTTTCTGGTCAAAAACCGAGAAATCCTGAGCAATCGCAGTTTTTTGCTCAACGTATGGATCCAGAGCCTGGAAGAACGAGCTGAGTTCGTCTGGGAGATCGGACGTGTCTTGCTCGATACCTGTAGCACTCCATGCTCTGGTCAGGTTGACATGCACAGCACGGGCAATAGCTTCGCACATGGAGGGGGTATCTCTTTTGGGGGCAGTTCTCCAGGTACCGTCCCTCTCTCTCCCCATCCAACACTTTGTGATGTCTACGTGGGTGTGTACATCTCCCCTCGCAGCCAAGACCACGAATCGTGTCTCTGAGCTCTGGCAGACGTACTGCCAGCAACGTAGTGGGTGCTTTACTGCCTTGGCCAAAAACATGTTGGTCGAAGCTGGTCATCTGGGCAGCGGGCGAGGCGGCAATAGCTTTCGCTGTATCCATCTCCCAAGGGCTGGGGGCCCTGGGTTCCCACCAAGCCTGTCCCGGGTGTTCCAGGACCCCGCAAGCCCCATATTGGAGACACACATCAGGAGGTGGTGGGTTTCGATGAGTAACTGGTTCCCCACAACAAGCTGCCAATGCTGCTTGATGGAGACATCGGGTCTGCCCCAAATATGTCGGTAAGTCCGAAGAGGCGGAGGGCCTGAACCAGCACCATCCGTCAGTCTGTTCCATCTAACGGCAGACCATGATTCGCGCGGGGGGCCTCCATCAATACCGAGGGTTCGTCCTGATCTAAGGTAGGCACACCATTTGTCAACAATCGCGGTTTGGGTGAGGTCGCCGAGGTTGGGGTCCAGGGCAATGTCCATCGAAATCACAACCACCGTCCAGGGTCCCGAGAGCAACACACGTTCGAGGTTTTTTTTGGAGGTCCCCAGGCCGCCGAGCTCCAGAGAACAGAGAACAGGTGCACAAAAGCAAAGACCGTATACTGAACTTCCCTTGGAAGCTGGTCTCTAGGGCCTCACGAGTACTCCTCAGGCCTGAAGGGCCACTCGTCATCGTCGGGGTGTCGGGGTTCGTCGACGTCGAACGTCAGGGGCCTGTTGGGGTCGTGCTGGTACTCGGATTCCTTGATAAGGGCCCAAGCTTCAGCACAGGGAATGTTGGTCTTGATTATGATGTCAATTGGCCCTGGGACTCCGTGAGCAGGAACAACTGCCTCTCGCCTCATCGCACCTGTAGTCCTAGCCGCCGTCCTTGCAGCAGCTTCGTCCATAGCGCACTGATCCGGCCTGGCAGATTCCACTGGGGCAGTGCAAGAGAGCCGTCAGCATACAGCGTGGGTTCCCATACGCCATATGGTCCACCGCAAGCTCCTGGGTCCCAAAACAAGTCAGACATACTGGGCATATCTGATATTCCAAGTATCTAGCAGCAAGGCGACGATGTTGGACATGCTGTGACGATACATGGGCACGAAGAGCAGCTGGTTTAGGCGTGTGGTAGGGGCAATAGGGGCACAAGTAGTGCTTAGGGGTAAGATAGATACATTAAGTAAATGACATGGTACTCCTTCCTTCTTCGCCTCCTCCAAGATACAGTTGATACGGCGTCGTGCAGTATAGTTCCTAGCCTGCCAACGAACGTGAGCAGCAACTGCCTTCGCGACCTGATTGGCCCATGCCTTACCAGGCTTGCAAATTTCCGCCTCCCACTTGGGGAAATCACCAACCGGCGTGGGAAAGTCATGGTATTCCGAAACTTTGTCGCGTATCCAGCGTAGGTCGTCAATCATCGGAGAGTGCCACGACCCCTTCACACTGGCCGAAAGTCGGATAGTGATCGTTCTTTTATTATTTTGTTTTGCTTTCGGCGGAACCCCCCGCCCCCCCCCCCCCCGTAGAGAAGTTATGGGCTGATTTTGGCACCTGCTTCAGTCGATCGGACGAACTACGGGGGCCGGCGCCCCCCCCCCCCCCCGTAGAAACTCGAATCGTTGATGTGTGCAACTGTGCGAACTTTTTCCTGCTATTCTTCTGGAACCATAACGAAAGGGCTCAGGGGCGCCGGACCCGATCGCCAAAAAGCATGCCTCCGGTTGGGCCCTCCCCTGTTATGCCACCGACGGCCTTGTGGAATCATGAATATGTGATCCATAGTAATCCTGGCACAGCCCCGCACAATCACGCATAGATAGCCTTGGCGCAGCCCCGCGCAGCCTCTGCGCGATTCCCCCATGGGGGGTCCCCCATAGGATTCCCTCACCGGCATCTCCCACAGGATTCCCCCATAGGCTTCCCCCATGGGCTTCCCCCATCGGATTCCCTCATAGGTCTCCCCCATAGGATTCCCCCATCGGATTCCCCCGTTGGCTTCCCCCATCGGATTCCCCCATAGGCTTCCCCCATCGGATTCCCCCATGGGTTTCCCCCATGGGCTTCCCCCATCGGCTTCCCCCATCGGATTCCCCCATGGGCTTCCCCCATGGGCTTTCCCGTTTTAAGCTATGTTGAAAATTTCAAGATGATTCAATCGGAGGGATTGACTACGGGACGAGAGCCAGACCCCCCCCCTCCCCCCCTCGCGCCAAATGACGAAACCCAGAATACATAAACGCTCACATAAGAGCAAACAGGAATGGGGGTCCATATCTCCCGTAGCCATTTTGGCTAAAATTCCCAACGTCGCTCCCGCGTTGGGAGCTTGTTTCGCAGCCGAGGGAGCGGCTCAAGGCTCCCAAGCTTTCGCACCCCAGGGGTGCACGGCTGTCGCGGCCAACTTCTGTGTGCTCCTGCAGGAGCAGATACCGCTTCTTCTGAGGCTTCCGCATTCTGACACCCCCGCAGGAGGCACATCGCACATGTCTGATGGCGGAGCCGCGGTCCTTCCAGGTCCTCGGACGCCGTACTGGTCATGCAGCGGTTGCGGGCTTAGCACGAACTGTGCAAGCAGATTGGCGTGCAGGTGCGGGAGATCAGCACCAGCGCACGTCGCGAAGGCCCCTCGCGACAAGGCTAAAGGTCTTGCTCCTAGTCATGCTGGGGGCCCTCGTCAGCCAGGCGGAGGTCAACCACGAGCTGGAGCCAAGACGTCGGCCCAACTCAGTAAGCAGCTGGCAGACCTTCAGAAGAAGTATGACAAGCTGGTGGGCAGCGCTGGCAGCGGTGGCCCTTCCCCTCCTGGCGGGCAAGTGCAGTCTGGCAGCGCAGCGCCACCGTCTCCAGAGGACGCACAAGCGCAGGCCTTGCCAGACACTATCAAGCATCTCGAACAGGCCAGAGTTGCAGTCGACAAGGTCGCAGGAAGCGAGTGCACACGGGCGGCCTTGGACATGCAATTCCAGGAAGCTCGGAAACAATTGTCCAGGCCCAAGCCAGAACCCACGGTGCACACCAACGTGGGTCATCGGCTTCAGCGTGCTGAGCAGAAGTATGAAAGGATTCGCTTGCAGGTTGAAGAACAAAGTGAAGTATTACGATGTGCTCAGGAGAAGCTGGACAGTCTCGAGTCACAGCACATCCTGGCTACAAAAGAAGTGGAGCAGCTACGCAGAGAGCTGGTGGAAACGCTTCCGTCTTTGGCGGCGGCGAAGTCACAGCTCAACACAGACGCGGACGAACTCACGGACAACCCCGACGAGCAGGCCCTGCTCGAGCAGTTCTTCGCGTCGGATGGTTTCAAGCTCTACGAACAGGCGTTGGAGAGGAAGGAGGCCAGGAAAGCGGCGCCCAAGAGTCCTTTCGACGTTGATGGTGATGCGCGCATGGCAGGAGAGAGTGAGTTTGCTGATCCCATGGGCGCGAGAGCATTCGGAGGTCACGGGGCAGGTGGTCCAGAGGCCGACGGACAAGAGCGTGATCGTGGAGCAGGTGGCCCAGATCAACGGCAGGACGATCGTGGAGCAGGTGGCCCAGATAACGGCATGAGGCTGCGGCGTCCGCAGGTGGTGGAAGCACAGCCTCTCGATCGGACATGGACTTCTCGGACCAAGAGCTCGAGGCA